CCGGAGCCCCGCGAGGGGACTGTTTCTTTTCGGTTGCGCGTTACACTTTCCGCACTCTCCGAAATGTGACATCAGACGTTAGCGCAATCGGGTGTTGGTGGGGAAGGGAGCGCGGGGGAAGGCCGAAAGAAAGCGCAGCTGAACCGAACAGATATCAGTGTGCCCTCGTCGCTGCACTTCCGGCGTGTGCGCGAGGATTTCGTGAAAAGCCGCGGCTTCTTTCTCCCCTTCGTCTCCGTCGGTCGAGGAGCCGTGAGCGAAGCGATACCGGATTATCCCGCTCGCCTTTGTGACACACAGTGCTCGATTAAGACGATTGTTACTTCGGCATCGGCGTGAACAGAGATCTCCGTGCGCGACGTGCCCAGCATCGCCGGGAGCATCGGCGACTTCAGGTCGGTGGCTTGCCACTGCATCCCGTCGACGCTCTCTGCACTTCCGGGTAGATTTGCGCTCGAAATTTCGAAATGCGATCGATTCAATTAAATTCGGCGAAATGGGTCTCGCGAGGGGGAAAACTGATCCACGGGAAGGTGCAGGAGATGCAGCCGAGGACAGGCGGCTCTCTCGACGACGACGTCGAGCTCGCTCGTTCCGGGTGCACCTTCTGCACCTCGTTTGTCGCCTCTCTCCCTCGCCTCGAGAGGCGTCGACATTGCGGTGCATGTGTGTTTTAATTTTAAACGCGAAAAGTGCAGGAAAGTGCAGGCGGAACGCTCGCGGCGTCGATTGCGTCTCCCCCGACAGAATCGCGTCATCGATAGCGTGTCCTGAACATTCGCGTCATCGATGGCGTCCTGAGCATCCGCCACGCACTCTCTCACTTTCTCCTTCTCTGTCTCTCCTCTTCGTGCTCTTCGACCTTGGCCGGCGCGCACTATCTTCGTCGCGGAGGAAGGTATAGGTTAGTTTAGCCGAGACGAATTTACTAGGTGTGTCCGCTTCAGCTGCACTTCTCTGCATTTCGCTTCCGTGTGCTCCGAGACGTGCGTTTCGAATACAGTGAGTGTCAAACGCGGTTATAAGACGGGATAGACCTATCAAACTTCCGTTCATCGATTCTTTCTAACTCTTTATACTTTCACAATACTTCTCTCTCTGTCTCTCTCTCTCTCTCTTTTTCATCTCTCTTTTTCATCTCTCTTTCTTCTCTCTCCTTCCCTGTCAAAACTGAGTTTCATTTTAAATGCAGAAGGAGGTAAACGCAGAAGCTATTCTACAAGAAGATAATCTTCAATACAGTCGCCGGGAGAGTTACGACGGTTTAAGACACGAAGATGCGAAATACCATTGGTTGCGATCATTTCTGAGAAAGAAAGGGACAGTCTACGCGGATAATAAAATAGGAAATTAGAAGAAAGGAGAGGAAGGAGAAGGAGGTACGGAAGGTATAGTGAAGTGCGGCTGAAAGAGGAACAGATCTCGTTCTCGTGCACGCTGCTCACGAGAAATCGGTGAGGGGATTGCTCCGGATCGTTAAAATTCTCGGGATCTAGTCGCCGCGCTTCCAAATTTGTCGTCACCCTTCGGGATTCCTCTCTTCGAGCAGGAATAGACCGCAGTTCTGGTCGCAGTTCGAAGTGCAACGGTAGCGATCTCGCAAGCCGCTGCTCTACGTCAGCGGCTGACCGTTTTTTCTGCCTGGCTAGGTCGGTCGTGGACGGGACGACGTGTAGATCGAACAAAGGACTCGTTCCTGCGTGTCGCGGATTCGCGATATCGACGTGTGGACGCGATCGTCCGTCACTCGAATATTTCGCCGGTCGCGTTCGCGCGACTCCACGGCGGCATGTAAGAGACAATTTTGGCGGGGATATCGCGATTGGCGGTAAAAAAAAAAAAAAGAAAGAAAGAGGAGACTGTACAGTGTTTTCACGAGCAATATTCAATGTCGTCGGGGCTTTCGCGATACCGCTGAATATCTAATCGTGATGGACGATATGTAATTGCGTCACAATTTGGAATGGGACACGTCCCCGATTCGGTTTCTCGAGATTCTTTTACGCACAATTAACATTGTAGGGTAAATCACAATTATCAGTATTCATCCTTCTTAGTCATTGGCACTCTGGAAAAACCTGCTTTTTCTTACGACCAATGATATTATTTCATATTTTTCATTGTGAAAATTTCTTTTAGAATCGTAGAGTGCCTGCGAGAACTCTATAGTGGAAAAAAATACTTGAACATTTACTTGTGAGATATGAAGTTTATTTCACCAAAATAAGCTTTATTTTTACAGAAATAAATTTATATCTCAAATAAATTTTCAAGTTCATAGTTGAAGTTACGATGGTCTTTTTTAGAATCATAGAGTGGTCTGAACTTCTCGCAAAGAAGCTTACAAAAAATATTCGAAAATTTATCTACGGGATATGAAGTTTATTTCACAGAAATAAATTTATATTCCACAAAGATCAATTTTCAAGTGTTTTCCCCTCAGTGTAACTGCAATAACGGTCGCACGAGAAATCAGGTTTTTTTAGAACGCTAATGACTGAGAGGAATGTCAGTGATGCGCTGAGAAAAAAAGACTTGAAAATTTATTTATGGGATATGAAGTTTGTTCGCAGAAGTCAACTTTATTTCACAGAAATCAGCTTCATATCCTGCAAATAAATTTATTTCACAGAAACAAATTTTATTTCTCAGAAATATATTTTATATCACGGAAATAAATTTTGTATCATACAAATAAATTTCCAAGTGTCTTTTCCTCAGTGTGGCATGGTTTACCTTAGAAGTTCTTCCCGTTGCACTTCATCGCGATTTCAACACTGTCAACATTGAACTTTCAAATCAGTGATCGGTTCCGCGATGTTGGACGATACTGTATGACGCGGCCAGCATTAAGTGCGTAAAGCAATGTTGAGAAAGAAAAGAGAACGATCGTTGGAAACCTCGCGTGATTCTGTGCCGTACATTGTTATATGCCTGTGCAGTGTGAATGTACGGCGTGCCACATTTGATTTACGCTTTATTGGATGGTTTCTCTGATGGGTACATACGATGTTTAATATTGCATGCCTAACTGCAAATAATATACCGATCTTTTGGTTTCTTTCCTCTTCTCTCTTTCTCTCTCTTTTTAATTTTTATTTTTTTCTTTGCATGAAAAAAAATCTCGATAGGTTATTTATTTTATCCTCAACGCGTAAGGTGGAGTCTTGGGTGCGTTGGGTTAATAAACTCCCGGTACATTAAACACGGTACTGGATCGATGCGCGAGTGTGTTAAATAATTGCTCCCGCGAACATTGAATGAATGAGACAAAACTCCGGGAGACTCTACCTTGCGCAGTCACAACTCGGTACACTTGATTTGAGTTAATTGTGTACATAAGGTCATCGATTAGTCATTGACGATCCTGCTGAACCTCGTATATATACATATATATATTCTCTCGAATATATCGCGCGCGCGGAAGGAAAGAGTTAAGAAAACTGAGCATCTCCACGACGAGAGGGTCGCGCGGATTACACGAGGATTGATCGATTGATTGTTGTTCTGTGACATTTCTTTTCTTTCTTCTGACCAAATCTTGTGTAGGATGCATATTTATACATACATATATATGTGTTTACATATAGATATTTACTATACTTATATATGTATTTACTGATATATATATATATATTTTTTTTTCTTGTGTGGTATATGCATTCATCTCGCAGCTTCCTCTACCCGTTCTAACATATATAAAATGTCCACTTAAAACAGAGACGCTGAAAGAAAGACTAAAATCATGGGATGCAATGCGGGCCGATGCCTCGGTCCAGACGATACGGGGTACCCTGGATCAGGTACGACCCAGTCAAATAATCCTTTAAGACTTCAGCCCTCGTAGGTCCCGCTTTCTCATAGCGATATTATATACGAATATACGTAGCTCACCGGGATTAGACTCGGGTCCGGTCTCTTTTGTGTCGCCTCCGTGACGCAAAACGCGAGCTCACGTGCGCTTTCTCGACGAGTAGCATTTGGAATCATAGATGAGATAGAGAAGCGAGGTTTTGCGAGTTAGTCGAAGTTGCGCGCGCTCCACCTCGTCCAAAAGGGCACGTTGAGAGGGAGATTGGCTCTTGAAACTAAACGGGGACTGCGACGGTATAGGTGGGGGATTTCTGTTTTCCTTTTTTTTTTTTTTTTTTTTTTTTTTTTTGTTTGGCAGAATGCGTTTCGCGGTATATGTGTTGATTATTCGCGAAATCTCCTCGTTTATAGAACCGTCGACAGTGCACACCATC